AAAACCAAAAAAAAAAAAAAAAAAAAAAAAAAAAAAAAAAAAAAAGACCTAACAACGTAAAAATTTCTGAACTCCAAATCCAGAGTAGCTTACAGAAATAGACATATATGTCTACGTTTTTAAAAACGTGTTACATACAAATGATCAAGAATTATGACGATTTTGAACTTCACAGCAACACTAGAAGCAAGGTGACAATGGAGCAATGTCTTCAAAATGCTAAAGAAAAGTGATTCCCAAATTACAATTCTACACCCCAAATATCAAGCAGAAGGGTAAGATAGTCATCTTCAGTCATGCCATCTCAAAATAATTTACTTCCCTTGTACTCTTCCAAGAAGGTACTAAACCAAAGAACCGAAAAAAGAAAACATGGGATATAGCAAACAGCAAACCCAAGAGAGGAGAGACAAAAGGAAACCCCAGGAAGATAAAATAAATCCACAATGACAATTGTGCAACCAAGGTCAAGCAATCCACACTGGAGCAGTGTGATTCAAGAGACAATCACTTTGACAGCCATTATCCCTAAAATCTGCTGCCACTCTTCTTTTTATGCTGAAGACAGTATACATGGGAGGATTGGCCAAATTCGTGTAAGTACTTGAATGTGTTGCCCTTATGATATGTTTCCTGCCCTCCCACCTCCATGTTCTGCTGCCTACAACAGCTGTGGATAATCGCATCATAACCCCTTCATCCTGAAATGTTCTGTTTTACCTATTCCTGAGTTGGCAGACTATTGTGAAATTACAAATAGCAACAAACAGTGCAGGTCACCTCATTCTCCTTCACCATACGTCTGCAAGACATCCATCCACGCTAGAACCCCGACAGATGCCAACTTCAATAAACCTGTTTCCAGGATGTATGACCTTGCCCAATGACTTCTCCAAAATAAGCCCTTGTAAAGACTCAGGAAAGCTGAAGCCAGTCCATGACCCAGATAGTCTCTTTTACTTTTTATTTTCCTACCTTGGATCCTTCAACTAACACTGCTTTTTTCTTTACACAGCTAAGTTTGTAACTGCTATTCAGATTTTCAAAAGTAAACACTGATTAAGAATTTGTAGGTGGTAAAACTCTAAAGAAAAACAAAGAAGTGAATTAGACAAAAGGCAAGATAGTACTGACACCTCTGGAGAGAAAAGGAGGATGCAATTGAGAAGTGGCACAAAGGGCTTCTAAAAGTAATGAACCATTTTTAAAAACTTGTACACAAGTGCACTGTTATTCTTTAAATTCTACACGCACGTTTCATACACTTTTTATCTTGTATGTATGATACTTTACAATGCAAGTAGTAAAATCTTTGAGAAATGGTAAAAATGAATTCTCCAAATATTTATGACTCATTATTGTGCTCAGCACTTCCCTAAGAATAAATACTGACAAACGGTTTACTATATTTATGACAGTGATTATGTATACTATATTTTGTCTTGAATACATTGTACCCAACTTTTAAAATAGCAGGCACTAAAGCATGTCATTACCATACATTTTCATAGTACATAATTTGTACTGCTGTTAACTACATCACACGGTACAAAGTGATGCCAAATCTGAAAAAGGAACCAACTATCTGCCACTTACTTGTCGATGTCTGCCATGTTGTATGAACGCCAAATATCTATGGAGAGAAATATCAATGTTAAAAAAAAAAGAGCATACGACTTATTTATAACCAATAAAAACATTTGAAACCAAAACCCTTTAAATGAATATCACATTAAAACTATTTCAAGAAAAAACACGGAACATAGACACTAGTCACTGAAGTAATTTTTCAGAGGATGCTGCTTACAAGTTACTACCTGGCATTCAGAATCTATTGGGCAAGGATTTTTACAATAGCACTGTTGGTGAAAATCTAATGTATGCTAGAATCACAGGAAAGGACCAATACAAAGTCTTTATTCAAATTCCTTTAACAACCAGTCAATTTTTGCTTAAATTTCTGGGCTGCTTAGTACCTCACAGATCAAACCCAGTTGATTTTTTTTTTTTTTTTTTTTTTTTTTTTTTTTTTTACTTTGACAAGTTTTCACGTATATATACACCCATGAAACCATCATCAAAGTCAAGATAGTGAACATATCCATCACTCTCAAAGTTTTTCCCCTGCCCTGTTAGAACACCTCCCTTCTCCCCTTCCTGCTTCCCACCCCAGGCAACTGTTGCTCCGCTGTCACTCTAGTTCATACTTTCTAGAATTTTATAGAAATGCCATCATACAGTATGT